TGTAAACAGTGTTATTCCTATACACCACAAAAAAGGAAATGTAAGCTTAATAGAAGATTTCATTCAAACTTACAATGTCACATGTTAATTATATCTTAAAGCTGAAAACAAAAAAGATTTCATTCAAAATAGTAACAAATGATCTCTGTTAAACACACACACACACACACACACACACACACACACACACACACAGAGTATATTCATGTAAAAACACAGAAATTATATCACAACGTGAACAGATTATTTTTATTTTCTCTAATAACACCATTCTTTTATAAAAAAGAAACCTATTACTTGATAACACACACACACACACACACACACACACACACACGCACACACACATTTTTTTCACACACAAAGAATGAGAGGAAACAGCCCAAATGTTACCAGTAGATGTTCCTAGAAAGTGAGATTATGGGGAAACAGTTTTCTAATTTTTTAAAAATTGTTCAACCTGCTCAACTAAGTCACGTTTTCATCGTGTTAGCTCCCCTGCTCTGGTCCACGTTGCCTTTGGGAATAAAAAGCCCTCCCGCCAGCACGGCTCTAGCTACTGAGACCTGGTCTGCCCCACCGCCATCCCTGCACCTCCAGGAGGGGTCCTGCCCGCAGTGGGGATTGGGCCCGCTCTCTCCCTCTTCCGGAGAACACTCTAAGCCTTGCCATCTACACCTGCACACCCACCTTACCCTTATTCCACCCCCATCTCTGCAGACCCAATGTGTTTGCTCCTCCAGATCTGGTTCCAATCTCTAAACTTTAAGGTACTCCGAGAAATCTAGAGAGAAATGATCTGTCCCTCCTAAAGGGACACAGCATTTGGTCCCCACCATATGGGACCACCTTATGCCGCCTGCTTAAAGACTGACATCAGAAGATATTTTACGTAGGATGCATAATTCACAACTAGACTATGTGTCCCTCAAGGGCAAAGAATTGGTTTTGGAGATTTCCACATCACCTGCAGTCCCGGCTCTGTACCTTGCATACGACAGTTCTTCGATAAATATTTTATAACAGGATCTCTGTAACAACAAGTTTCCGAGGCTTAGTCATTCACCTCACTAACTGTGAGAATTACTGAGTCTAACAAAATTCCAAGATAATTAAAAGAACGAATCGATAGGTGGGAATCTGACTCACAACGCTCATCAATTTGGGGCTCTTTCTCTAAGCTGATAACCTACGAAAAGAGCCCTCCACTCTCCATAGCGTTCTCTCCATGGCGTTGAGCATTTCTTACTTCTGAGAGCCAAAGCACAGGGGTAATTTTTAAATTCATACTTTCTGATCTCCTTCTTCAAACTCTGTTTTCAAATTTGGTTTTTGGATCATCTTTCGCAATTTGCCTCGACCCCCAACTGCATCTTGCAGGAAAAATGATTCACAAGTTTCAACTGACTTTATAGCCAAGACAGAGAAAAATTTGTAAGACATTTCAACAAAGGTAGTCAAGGTACAGCAACCGAAAATAAAACCTTCGACTCCCCTAATGAAAAACGGATAAAGGTCAAATATTTTGTGAGCCAGACCAACCTTGACAAAGACTCTCCAGAGAGTCCAGATTTTATTTAATGTATCGGCTGCTGCCCTGCTAAAAAGTGTAAACTTCGCAGGCTTTAAAAATTGACAAGACTGTAGAAATCTGTGTCAGCACAACTGTCCTCAATTTTTCCAGTTAAGAAATCAAAAGAAACTGTTATTTGATCATTGAAAATAGAACATAACCTTGAAAATGTGGCGGGGAAAAAAAAAGCTCCAAGTCTTCTACCCCCTCAAAAGTAATTATTTCCAGCTGTGCCCACATCATACGGTTTTTAGCAGGGAAGGAAACTAGCAATTATTGACCACCCACTATAGCAGAGGTCAGGGGACTGGTGCCCATGGGCCAAGACAGCCCATGCTCTGTTTCTTCACAACCTGTGAGCTAAGAATGCTTTTTAGGTTTTAAAGTGGTTGAAAACCAATCAAAAGCAATATTTTGTGACATCTGAAAAGTATGTGGAATTCATATTTCAATGTCCACAAATAAAGTTTTACTGGAACACGGCCATACCCCTTCGTTTACATATTAAATATGGCTGTTTTCACACCAAATGGTGAAGTGGAGCAATTTCAACAGAGTCCCAGTGGTACACAAAGCCTCAACAACCTGACACCTGGTTCTTTTGGCAAAGAGTCTGCCCACTTATGTGCCAAGCACTTTATAAAGAGTACCAAATACCATCCTTAACTTCCAGAGGAGGAAACTAAAGACACAACGGAACAAGAGTAAATAATGGCACTAAAGGTCAAACCCAAGTCCACTTGACTCCAAAGTCTTACCCCAGAACTCAGACCACTCTGCACCACACTTTTTACAATGAATACTATATTGTCATCTTTTTTCCATGTTAGTATTACATTGTGCTGATGTGTCATCATGAAACCTTTCCGTCACTGTCAGAACTTGCCCCTGGTTTCTTGCACATACAAATAAAAGCAAAAATAAAATTTGACAGATGTGCGGCACTTGCTTAAAAACAAGCAGTGAGGTTAAAAATAATGAAACAAGCTTTGAATCTGGTTAAAAGGCTCTAGCTTTTCTGCGCTTCTTTGCAGGTACCTCTAAATAGATCGACTGCGCAGAATTCCATTGTGTCTTAGACGTCATAGACAGGACAGTCCTATGGGAAGGAAAGGACAAGTGTGTGGGGCTCCCCAGGGCTCCTCCAGTGGCTGAGGAGGAGAATCTCTTTCTGAGCTCATAGAACAAGTGTGGCCGACGACTTCCCATCACATTCAAACACTACGTGGCCTTTAGCCTACCTAGGTGAAGCCACAAGCAGGGAGAAGCGTTTTCCCCCATCACCCTGGGTTTCCTCATCACTCGCCCTGGCTGGTACATGAATTACGTGTAGGCCCAGGCCATTTCTCTAAGGTGCTTACTAAATCCTTTGTTACCCTCATTTCAAAAGTTTCCTGATACAAAGCCAGCCCAGTTGGTCTAAGGGAAGAAATGAATAGTTAGAAAAGTTATTAGCAGCAATTTAAAAAGTCCAAAAGCACACCTCAAATGATAGACAAAATTAAAGATTTCCCTTTCGACCAGCATGGTGAGAGAAACAGTCTCTGTCCTTACTGCAACACGAGTCAGCTTGACTAGAGATAGGTCAGAAATGATGGTGCCAGAACAATCGACATGTCCTGGCCGCCTCCAAGGTCAGTCCCAAAGAGCCAGGCTATACAAAGCGTGGTCAAGAGTCAGACTCACCTGGGACAGTTGGGTGAACACTTGTTTCCTGGCATCCTTATTCACAGAATCCCCTTTCAAGCTCTCAAGTAGCCTGACTTAGATGATAAATGATGTAATAATGACACTATCTCAAAGCTTGAACTGTCCCTAAATACCCACTTATTCACACATCAGTGACCTGTCAAGGCCCCCTGGAGTGGGCTGAACAGTGGCCCCAAAGATATCAGGTCCTAACCCCCTGGAGCCTGTGTGACTGTTACTTTATTTCGAAAGAGGCCCTTTGCAGATGTGGTTTTACTAAGGATTCTGAGATGGGGAGATTATCCCAGAGGGCCCTGGATGCCACTGTATGTATCCTTAAAGAGGGAGATCCGACAGAGGCAAGAGAAGCCACGTGAAGACGGAAGCGGAGGTCAGAGGGATACGGCCTCAAGCCAAGCAACGTGGCAGCTGCCAGCAGCTGGAAGAGGCCAGGAAGGATCCTTCCCTAGAGCCTCCAGACGGAGCATGGCCCTGCCGCACCTTGATTTTCAACTTCTGGCCTCCACAACTATGAGAGAATCCATTTCTGTTGTTTGAAGCCACCCAGTTTATAGTAATTTACTACAGCAGCAATTGGAAACTAACACAGCCCTCTGTGATTCCTTTTTTGCTATCAGCTTTCTCCAACAATAAGGCGCACCATTTCTGAACTCCAAATTCCCTCTGCTGCTACTGGTGCCATCTCGCAACTGCTATCATGGCCTTGCTTCTGTGTTGCTGACGGTGACCACATCTTATCTCTTCCATCAGCGGTTAAGTTCAGAAAGTCGTGGAACTGTCTGATCGGGGTAAAAACGAAAAGCAGCTACCATACTGTTTCCAAGAAACACACTTACAGCAAAGTGACTAAGGAACAGTGAAAGGAAGGAAAGAAACTGGTACTCAAAATGGCCCCCAAAAGAAAACCCATCTCGGGCTTCCCAGGTGGCGCAGTGGTTGAGAGTCCGCCTGCCGATGCAGGGGACACGGGTTCGTGCCCCCGTCCGG